TACATGTGCCTAGCATCCTTGACAACTTTGAGTATGTTGCCAGTGGTGCTGACATACCACAAGAGGTTTAACTATAGCTGTTGAAAGCAAATGCTATTAAGAGTATTTGTGCTATGCAGAGCACTAAAGATGCCCTATCACTTGCCACATCAGAATGCCTGTTTCATCAGTGATGAAGACCACTTTTTCCTAGTTCTTCCAGAAGTCCAAAATAATCTCCTGGTTAAGGCCAAGGAGCCTCAATATTTTCCTAGTTCCAGAAAAATCTAAGTATGAGATAATGAGAGGCTGCATGACCAGTAAAAAATAAAAAGTAAAACAGAAGATGCTAAAGAAACAGAGGGAGTCATGAGCACCAGCTTCTGCCACTGTGAAGAATTATCGTGTGTTTCCACCCCATTCCTAGTGCCTAGACAACACAGTGGTAATATGAAGTCACTTCAAAAATTAAAAAACTAGACACCTATCTAGACATCTCAGATATACCTCAGTTTCTGCAAACTGATCTTATGTCCCACACTCAACCAATTAATCATTGGGAGTGGGAAGGAAGAGAAAGAGAAAGTAAAAATAAATAATAATAAATAAAGGTTGTTCCACTATGGCTATATAAAGGTGAAATATAAAAATGCACATGGGAATCCTGTTACCCCAAACCAAGAATATTTTGTTGGTGTCACATATAGTAAGTGTGTGCGTCACATCAGCAGAAGGATGGGGAGAAATTACACACACAATATCCCACTGTGCTCAAACAAGGATATATACTATAGAGGTGAGAAACATGGGTTTAGCAAGAGGGTGTATCCCAAATAAAATCTTATTCTCCCTATTCCCAACAGCTCACACTATTGATGAATTTGCCAAGCACATTTGGGTCCTGTATATTAAAGGACACAGCCCTGCTTCCATGAACTCCAACATAAGCAGAATCCAGAACCTTAGAGATTCCTCTCTCCTCAAGTTCTATGCAGGCACCTGAGTTGTCAAATTGACAATCCAGAGATATTTACATCTATTGGAGCTGGGGACAGACCAGTCTCTGTGGAATGTGCTCAGCATCTCTGGTCCAGCAGAGCATGAGTTTGCATGCCCTTCAGAACATGATGCGAAGCATGTTTAACCAGACTTGTTGAAGGATGTGAAATTTTTAAGTGGCAGTTGTTAGGTTACATTTATTGTTGTGATGTGTGCTGTTGAATTTGTTTGTGGCTATAGATAAGTTATATACATTATATACTACATACATTAAACAACAACAGAGTGTCTGACTGATTTTTTTTTTTTAATGTCAATAGAATTTCTTACTGTATGTGCCCAAGCCCACAACAAAGCATGTAGTGTCTCAATTTAGCTGATACAGAATATCATGACACAGGGTTTGATCAGCCAGTTCTTATATGCCAAACTGACAAATAGCAAATTTGCCTTAAAGTGCTTATCTGCACTGGATCTGTCTAGAGCTGTAAAGAGTGACTCTGAGCTGAGACAAGCTTAACACAGCACCTACTGGCTTGGTCACAGAGGCTGGGGGCTCTCTTTAGGCTCACATGATACAGCTCAGAACTCTTGTGGCTCCAAGTATCAGCCGCAGAAATGGGCAGAATGTACAAACAGCTTGTCCTGCCAACCGAGATATGAAGGACTGAGGTAGGTGGCTACATTGGCTCTGGTACCTGGCCGTCAGTTACCATACACAAGAGCCTTCCACTATATTTACAACATATGCACCTCTACTAATGGTGCGGAGAATTCAAGTCTACTGCCAATGTCCTTTTAGAAGCATTAATTCCACTGTGGATTTCCATTCAAGTCTGCTTGGTCAGAAAGGAAGAGCAAGTAAAGAATAATTGTTTCTCCACCAAGCTGATGGAGTCCCGACTGCAAAGGAGGGTTTCTATGGGCTCTTATAGATGGTAGAGTCATTTTCTGTACTCTTTTCCCTGCCCCTCCATGCTTCCTGCCTCAGGGTTTTCTCTTCTCTATGTGCATGGTAAACAGATCTATAACAGAAACTAATGTTGGTGAAATTTGGTGTGCTAATTGGAGCATATGCTAATCCAATCATGACGCTGAAGGACCTTTTGAATATTCCTGTAAGCTGTGTTGATCATGAATAAATGAGCAAATTATTGGGAATCTTTTTTCCTTTTATTTTACTTAGAGAACCATGAAAGTGATGTTTCAATAGCGGTATTATTGTTGTTGCTGTGCATCTGATGAATAAAACAAAAGGGCACACTCAATGAGCATATAACAAAAGAGAGACAAATACTGGCCTCATTTGCACCCTTAAAACCCCACCTAAGTTAATAAGACTGCAGAGGTGTAGAAGCAGAATTTGTCCTGATGATTCTAACCAGTACATGAAAAAAAACAAGAAGATACTATGGATGAAAGTTTATAATGATACTGATAGGAATCAATCAGTTTTAACAATAACTGTACTAAAAGCCACCTAAAACAGGCAATCCCTCCTTCATGAAACCACTTTAATAAGCATTATTTTTTTGGCATTAAATTTATTTAACTATTATTTAAAACAGGTGTGGGCAAACTTTTTGGTCTGTGGGCAAACTTTTTGGTCTGTGGGCCACATCTGGGTATGGAAATTGTATGGCGGGCCATGAATGCTCACGAAATTGGGGGTTGGGGTGTGGGATGGAGTGAGGGTTCTGGGGTGGGGCCAGAAATGAGGAGTTCAGGGTGTGGGAGGGGGCTCCGGACTGGGGCAGAGGGTTGGGGTGAGGGCTCCAGCTGGGGGTGTGGGCTCTGGGGTGGGGCTGGGGATGAGGATGAAGGGTTGGGGGTGCAGGAGGGTTCTCTGGGCTGGGACCGAGGGGCTCAGAGGGTAGAAGTGGGATCCGGGCTAGGGCAGGGGGTTGGGGTGCAGGAGGGGATCAGGGGTACAGGCTCTGGGAGGCACTTATCTCAAGCAGCTCCCAGAAGCAGCAGCATGTCCCCCACTCTGGCTCCTACGTGGAAGTGTGGCCAAATGGCTCTGCGCACTGCCCCATCTGCAGGCGCTGCCCCTGCATCTCCCATTGGCCACGGTTCCCAGCCCATGCGAGCTGCGGGGGTGGTGCTTGGAGCGAGGGCGGCATGTGGAGCCCCTTGGCTGCCCCACATGTAGGAGCTGGAGGGGGGACATGCCGCTGCTTCTGGGAGCTGCATGGAGCCACGTCATGTGCAGAGTGGGGCAAGCCCCAGACCCTGCTCCCCGGCAGGAGCTCAAGGGCCAGATTAAATCATCTGAAGGGCTGGCCTGGATGTGGCCCCCGGGTTTGCCCACCCCTGACTTAAAAGATCACTTTTACTAGGCACCCATTTTTAGACTAGAGAGGCGCAAACTTCTTTTGTCTAATTTCATACTCACTTAAACATCTGAGGTGACATTCTGGCCCCATTGACTTAAACAGGGCCAGGATTTCACTCCTGGTGTTGGGAAGAGTGACTCAAATGATACTGAAAATTCTGCTTAGGCAAGACCATGAAAGAGAGACCACAGGAGGAATAAAGTCCAATTTAAAAAAAAATGGAAAAAATAAGTAGAGAGCAAGCAACTAATGAAAACATTGATGGAAACTATCTATACATCATATGCAGAGCACCCACTTATACCAGCCTAGCTATTACATACCCAAAATGCAGCACAGGTACCTTTTAAGTAGAATTTTTAATTGAATAATCCCTTTTTTTAAAGAGGAGATTGGAGGAGGATTATGGTGTTACTTTATAGAGAAAGTTTGCAAAAACAAGGATTAGTCTGCAAGAACGCCACAAGATTCTCCTATCCCTGCTTAAGGCAAGTGCCATTGCCTTACAAATCAGAGAAGGAGTCTTCTTCAATAAGAGCAATTGCCCATATTTTTAAAATGTATTTCGGCACCTAGAATGCAGATGGCTACCTACTGAGATTTTCAAAAGTGCCTCAGCAGCTGGCTCCCATAAATTTTAATAGGAATTAGGCACTTTTCAATATTCCACTAGATGCCAAGCTGCATCTTTAAACACCTTTAAAAGTTTGGCCCGTCAGATCCTAAGTGTCACTGAAAGTCATTAGGGTCTTAGTCCTAAGTCACTTCTGAAAAAGGGACTTACGCCTCCAGTTTGGTCCATTAAATGCCAAAATATAAATATCAAGGCTTCTACGGGATGACTGTTTTCAGAGTATTTTATAATGAAAGGGCTTTCTCTTGTTCTGAATAAGTCTGAATCGCCATGGGTGAAACAGCAATATTGACATAATGTTATGGGAGTTAAATTAAAACATTTCCCTTCCCAAACAAATAAAAAGATATCTGGAATACATCCAGAAAATTTATTACTAATCCTATAGTTGAAACAAAATATCAGCCAATTAGTTAATCACATCAGATCAAACAAACACACACTACCATAGGGTACCTCTGGGTAAGCTGCAGGGAAACACCAGTGAGAGGGGGCTGGGGATAGATAGGAAGGAGAATGGTGTAGGTAGGGGAATAGGCACAGAACAAAAAATGGAGTTCCAAATATAGCTCTCCACTGACTAGGCTTGTGGTTCTGGGCAGCTTCTCTGCACCGGTGTCCCTCTTTGTGCCTCTAAAACAAGGTTAATACTTACCTACCTCCTAATGAAGATTCATTAGTTTGTTTTTTTTTTAAAACCTCTACAGATGCAAAGGAGCCAAATTCCACACAGTTACACCTATGTAAATCCAGATTAACTCTGGATTGAAGCCAATGGAGTTACAGAATTCAACCCTAAGTAACTACTCTTGCTAAGGTGCCTTGTGGGTTTAGACAGAGAAAACACAACGGGAGAACGTGAATGCCTTGTGTAGATGGGGTGGGACTGGGAAGGCACAGCATGCTGGGGGAGTAACAAGAGAAGGTACCTTACAGGAATACAAGGTAAAATAAGAGGTCAGACCAGCCTGAGCAATGCCCCTCTCAGGAGCCAGCCATCCTGTACAGCCTGGACTTTACTCCTCAGCAGCTGCAGGTGTCTCTCTTACCTTCCACTAGCTCCTCCAAGCTGGTGAGTTTCCTGCTGCCATCAATGGTGTAGATGGTGCGGACCCCCTGGGGCAGGTTCACATTGTCCGACAGCGACCTGGTGAGTTCGATCAGGAGAGCATCGAAGGAGCGAAAGCGGTCGCTGGAAACGGCAAACACCAAGCCCTTGAAGTACCTGTCCCCATTGCGGTAGAACCGGGCTTTCTTTGCTTTCTTCTCCGAGCTGAGGGCCTGCAGCGTCCGCGTGCGGTAGAAGCTGCAGTGGGCGCTGTGCGCGGGGCTTGGGATGAGCCCGTTCCCCTTGGGCCCGGAGCTGCTGCTGCAACTCGAGCCGGTCCCCGCTCTGCGGGCCCCCGAGCGCTGCTGCCTTTTGTCCCGCTCCTCAAAGTGCTCCAGCTCAATGCTCCTGTTGCTGGCCATTTATTGCACCTCCCCCTTCCAACAGCTAGTCCCCCTGCTTTTCCCCCAGACTCCACGGGGCCGAGTCCCCCGAAACCTGCCGCTAAGCCTGGCTCAGGGCATGCAGATACAGCGCACACCTAATTTAGCATCACGCCGAGCCACCCCGCCTGGAGGGATCTGGCGCGAGAGCTGCACCTACCCTGCTCAGTATTTACACCCCTGAGCGCCAACGTTGCCCTTGGGACTAGCTGTCCTGCGGTGTGATGATCTTTGCCCCCCTCTTAAGGCACACATGCACCCACTCACACACGCATCCTGCTGCCTGCCTAAGGAAAGCCTAACTCCGCATCTCGCGGCCAGGCGCAGCAGCTAGGACACAGGGCACAAACTTCGGGAGGCTGAGGAGTTGCTGGCTCCTAGCTGTAGCCACGCAGCCTCACACAATAAAGAGGATGCTGCTAGCCATGATGTCCCCAATCATGCCATTCTCTGCGGAGGACGTGGGGGTGGGGAAGGCATCTCTCTCCCGCCCGCTCCCAGCGCCTTCCAATCCGGAATGCCCAGCTCCAATTGCCCACCACAGCGCGCCGGGAGCCCGCGGGGCTCGGGTCACATGGGCGGATTGCAGGCAGGGGGATGCCTCACGTGGCTGCCGCTCCCCTGCTACCGCATTCGCCGCTCGCCCACAAGGCGCAGAGGAGAGACACAAATCCAGCCTCCTCTGGGAGCAGACAGCCCCCTCCCCAGCGCTGCAACAATCAGCCCCCGAGTCCGCGGTCCCGCCCTGCACAGCTCCAGCGGGTAGGAGCAGCAGCTGGGGAAGGCTGTTAGTGGAACTGCCCTGTGAAAAAGCAAACGCCCGGCCCCTAGCTTCCCTCCCCGCTACGCCTTTCTATGCCGGCGACTTCTATAGCCGGGCGCTGAGGCTCCAACAGGAGGAGCGAGCTGCGGCTGTAACCCGGCCAGTCCGCACTAATGGCAATGCAGCGTGTGAGGCAGGCGAGGGCTTCTCCCGGGTCCTAGACAAACACCATCTCCTACAGTAATGAGCCCAGAGGGGTTTGAGCACAAGCTGCCTTTTATCAACCCCATTGTAAGCTGCACTCAGGCTGTAGCTTGTATCTAGGGCCCCACCAAATTCATGGCCATAAAAAACGCCTCAGGGATCATGAATTCTGGTCTTTTGTGTGTTTTTACCTTACACTATACAGATTTCACAACGTTTCTCCAACTGGGGGAGACCCAAAAGTTGCAGGTGGGTTGCAAGATTATTTTATGGGGTAAGCGCACCCTTACTTCTGTGCTGCCTTCGGAGCTGGGTGGCTGGAGAGCAGCAGCTGTTGGCCAGGCACCCAGCTCTAAAGGTGGTGCCCGGCCAACAGCAGTACAGAAGTAAGGGTGTCAATACCATACCATGCCATCCTTACTTCTGTGCTGCTGCTGGCAGCAGCCAGCTCGCCAGCTGCCCAGCTCTGAAGGCAGCATCACCACCAGCAGAAGTGCAGAAGTAAGGGTAGCAGTACCACAACCCACCCTACAACTGCTGGGGTCAGGGCCCCTACAATTACAATTACAACACCCTGAAATTTCAGATTTAAATAGCTGAAATCATGAAAATTACAATTTTAAAACTTCTATGACCATAAAATTGACCAAAATTGACCGTGAATTTGGTAGGGGTCAGCTAGCTAGTGTGTAAAGCACCATCACAGGGGAATGAAAGTTGTGTGTGTGGATGGGAGGGAGGTTAACTTCAGTGAAGACAAGCCCTGCCACTCAAACCTGGCAAAAGTAGGGAAAATCAAGGACAGAACTGAGGATCTCTTCACTCTCCCACTTGCTTTGCTCCTTTGTATTGCTGATGCACCTACTGTATGTCCGGGAGGAAAATTAAATTACATAGTTGGAAAATACATTACCTTCTTGTGGTAAAACATCCTCTCAAGTCACAAGGACACTAAGCCAGATTCTGCTCTCACATCTATGTAAGTTAATTTCAGTGGTGTAAGTGAAATCAGAATCAAGCTCACTATCTAGATAAAAAGTATATTGTTGCTCAGAACTTATTTGTCTTAAATATTTATGTCTGAGTTCTCCTTTTAGTTACAATATTGTAACAACATTGACCTCAATGGAATTATTCTGGGGTTTTTTACTACTGTAATTGAGCTTAAAATTTGGCCTTCGTGTTTTAGGTCACCAGCCCAGTTAGCATCAGGTTGCTTGGTTTCTTTACTGTTTTGAAATAAATATTGTCATTGAGGAGGGGATAAAATATTAATATTTTTTAAACATTTCCTTACCTAGGTTACTAATTTTAGTATCAGGTCTGTATTTATGTTATAAACCAGTACCTAGAGCCCCAGTTCCTGGAGTCATGTGACTACATAAAAAGCTAAGATTTCATTTAAAAAAGAGTTTCTAATACTTACGGTTGTCAAAAAACAACCTTGAAAAAGTGACATATTTCTTTAAAGTGTGCAGTCTGAAACAGTAGCTTTATGATTTGTGAATTCCTCCATGTATCTCAATGGGGTATTAGAACCCCAAATCCCACCTCTCAGGAAAGCTCCACCAGAGAACTTATGATGTGACAGAAGGGAACAGTGCAGAGGGCTCAACCCACCACCACACAAATAAATATGCCTCAACTTCTGAGGCAAATACCATGGAGCCCTGCTGCTGCTGCCTGCTGGGAGGGAGAGAGGATCCCTGTGCCACTCCTGGAGGGAAAAATATGTGCCCCCCTCCACTGCTGCTCCTGGCTCTAGGAGCTGAGGGTCTCCCCCACTGCCACTATTCCAAGTGTGGGGTGGAGTTACAGGAATATAGTCATGATAGGACTTGTCAGGTGTGTTTAGGGCTGCAGGTTGCCTCAATCCAGCCCAGTCCTGCCCTGATCTCTATATATGTGTGGGTATCTGCTCTGCTTATTAATTACAAATCAGTAAGGAGTATTTTCTAATTTAAGTTGAGTGTTGAATTCATTCCATATTTTTATGGATGAGAAGGATATTCAACAAATGAGAGCAGCCTATTGCTGCGTATACTGAGACAGTCAAATGAATAAAAACATTTCTTGTTTACATTAGACATTTTGAAGAGAAGCAGGTGTTTTTAATGTTGCTTGGCACTTAGTAAATGATGCCCCAGGTGTTGCATTTGTCAAATTGTTACTTTTAAAGCATATTTTGATCAATTTATGGCAACTTTAAGGTTTCCTGAGTTTTAAAGTTGTTAGAAGGTCATCCAAAACCAGTTAATCTGTTTCTTTCATTTCTGTATTCTCTTGCACCTCTTAGCTGTCTTTGTTAAAGTAGCATTTTCATGTATGTACAGCAGTATACTCAAAACTATTCCATTAATATTACTTTTTTGGTAAGGCTCACAACTGAAACATTCACTTTGATCTTTCAAAAATTAGGTGTTCTTTGTTATTGAATGCTTGCATTTAAACAATACAAGAAAGTCTCTTAAAGAATACATGAACATTCTAATGCAATTATAAATAAAATATTTAAGTATATTATGAAAATCTTTCTCATGCCTTTGTTAAGATCAGGCCTTCACTTTATGTATCTTTTATCATTTTGGTGATTATTCATACTGCTGTGTGTAACTGAACTCTGTGGCATTAGAGATATGACTGGGATGCTTTTATCTATATTTAACTTACTTATTTAACATGTGTAGGATGTATTATGGTCCAGTTTAAATAAAATGTAGTGAGGATAAAATATTCAAGGGAATTTCTTTCAGTCCCTTAATTTTTCAAGCAGATCCACAAGTGCTTAGTTCTTAACGACTTCACTCTTCCATTATCATGTGTAATAAAGTCTAAATTGATAGCTAGGTTAATATCCTGGAGAAACATTTTCTTCTGTTATTCCCTTAAGAAATATGCCAGGACATATATTTCTCTGCAAGTTATTGTTTTTTAACTTGATACTTCTGTATGACTCACCTAAAGTTTCTATATATGCTGTGTTGTTGTAGTTGTGTTGGTCCCAGAATATTAGAGAGACAAAGTGGGTAAGGTAATATCTTTTACTGGTTTTATTGAGAGCTTCTGTTGGTGAGAGAGACAAGCTTTTGAACTTACATAGAGCTTTTCTTCAGGTCTAGGAAACGTACACAGAGTGTCACAGCTAAACACAAGGTGGAACACATTGTTTAGCACAGGGGTCGGCAACCTCTGGCACGTGGCTCGCCAGGGTAAGCACATGCCTCACCCACACCGCTTCCCGCAGCCCCCATTGGCTTGGGACGGCGAACCACGGCCAGTGGGAGCTGCGATTGGCCGAACCTGCTGACACGGCAGGTAAACAAACTGGCCCGGCCCGCCAGGGTGCTTACCCTGGCGAGCCACGTGCCAGAGGTTGCCGACCCCTGGTTTAGCATAAGTAGTTAACACACATTTCAAGGGACCATTCAAGCTGCAGTGGCCTGTTAACACCCCTCCAATCACAGGAGGAAAAGGAAGTGTTGGGGGAGGGTGAGAGGGAGGAAGGCAGCTGGGGGTGGGGGTTGCTAGTGAGTTATAGATTTTTGTAATAAGCCATAAATCCAGTGTCTCTATTCAGACCATGATTTTTAGTGTCTAACAAAGTTATGAATTTAAGCTCCCAGGCTCATCTTTTGAAAGTGTTGCGCAGGTTTCCTTTGAGGATGTGAACTGATACAGAGTGATCCCTTTGTGAAAAGTATTCATCCACAGTTGATATGGTGTTTTTGTCTTTTATCATTTTCCTGTGTGAGTTCATTCAAGAGTGTCTGGTTTCATCCATATAGTTGTTACTGGGGCATTTAGGGCACTGGATGAGGTACATCACATGTTGTGTTAGTCATGTGTAGTACTTATGAATGGACCTTGAAATGAATGTTGGGGGGGGGGGGGGGGGGTGTTGATCATTGTAGCAGTGGAGATATGTCTTCAAGTTTTGCATCTGTTTTTCTGGCAGGTCTGGTGCTGCTTTGAGTTGGTGTGTCCTGATCTGTGGGGAGCTTGCTTCTGTTGATGAGCTTGGAGAGGTTGAAAGCTGGAAGAGGGGATACAGGAAATACTTGTTTAAGGATGGGGTCCCCATTAATATGGGTTATAGTTGTTTGATGATTTTCCCTGTATGGGTTCCAGTATGGAGTGACAATTAGGGGCGTGCAGTCAGAGGTTGGTTTTATTTCTGTATTGAGGCGGGTTCTCTCAGGGTATTTGGGTGGCCCATTCCATGATCTGATCTACTTCTCCGGTGGAGTCTTGTTTGGTGAAGGTGGTTTTGAGTGTGTTCAGGTGTATATCCTGGACTTCTCCTCGGAGCATATTCTGTGGTGTCTGAGTGCCCGGCTGTAGAAAACAGATTTCTTAGT